ATCCGCGGCTTCTATATAGAGGAGCGAAGTCCGCACATTGTCCGAAAAGTTCGATAGAGAAATATTCCCTTTCATCCTTCCTTCCATCAACCTCCATCCATCCTTTTCCAGTTCATTCATTAGACGACAACATCCTGTTATTCATTGTTCCAGGTCTGCTCTTTTTGTAAACAGTTATGGGGATTACAAAGAGTCAGGCCATGTTCATTTGGTGTTGTGTTGTCCCCTGTTCATTTATTTCTACATTCCCGAGTGGTTATCTTTCGACTATTCATTTCATAAGTACCGTTGCTGCTATGTTATTTTGCAGCTGTTCTTTGTTGGCTTGATAGTGATTTTAAAAATTGAGTCAAATAAAAAGAAAATACATTGCTTCCTCCCTACGGTGCGATGCTAATGAAACCGCTACGTCGCGGGCTCAATTGGACCGGCTAGGTGCTATTGATGCAGGCTAGGTTGAGTGATGTGTTACCATGAGGTGTGTTCTCAGGTCTCCCGTCCGTTATGAGAGGGCAAACCTGGTCTTTCCCGCGCACCTCTTGCTAAGCGGTGCGGTAAAGGTACGTACCTAGTTGGCTGCTTCGGAGTCCACGCGCTGTCCTCCAGCCTCAAGTTTCCAGGCAAGCTTCCAAAGAAACTGCTGACCACCATGTTCTCACTTCAAGGATAGATCATGGCGGAAAATATCTATAGCACGATAGCGACGACTCGAGTGTAGGCCAAGTGGAAGCGAAGTGTCCAAATTACTCTCCGAGATGACTGTGGAGACTGCGCCCCCTTAGGCTGGAAAGGACGGGATGCCTACTAGAAGGTGCAGTTCCAGCTGCCTGCGGCGCATGTTGCTCGATATATACCTTCAGGGACGGTCAACTGGAAACTACAGTACAATTGCTTCAGGTCAGAGTAGCCAGCCAGGTGCATCTTATTTAGCCTCGACGGCGCCGATCTTGGAACCCTAGCTTTGCTTGCTAAGAGAAGATTTCCAGATCAAAATGACGTACCGTCAATATCCTGGCGGTATCACGTCCGCAGAAGCTAAGCGAGAGGTCGGCGGCACTCCTCCACAAACAATCCCACCGCTTCGGGTGCATCTCGATGCCACGAGAAAGATATGCACGATAGCGGCGAGAGCTTGTCGGCATCCACATCAAATAAGGCATGCATATCGGTACCGGTACTATTGGGCTATGGCGTGACAGAGCAACCTCGCAACGCATAGCCTTTTGCTGTCCTGGTTAGTCTAACTGGCGGTCCTGTTACTTCCGAATCCATTTTGATGTCCCTACTTCCAGATTAGCGAGAGTCAAATTAAGTATTACTGTAAAAATACTTAATTTTGGATATATATTTGACTCAAATTTGAAAACACGTCGTGTATATTTATCTTTCACGGACGACTGAACTAACCTGCGGGAGCGCAAGCAGGAGTGAAAAAAATGAAGCTGAGGGGTTGGAAGATACGATACCCATGTTGTGGTGGCAAATCCTCATTTCTTTTGTTGATAAAAAGCACTGATACCTCTTTTGAGATAAAAATCTAATAACGAGATGGCGGAATCAAGTACGGTTGCGTCGAATGCCCCCATGGAGACTTGGAAGAAAGTCGCCATTGGTGTCGGTGGCATTGGTGCCCTGGCAGCCGCGATTCTGCTCCCGCTCCTTCTGTTGAGGGATTCGAGCGAAACTACTTCCACTCCATCGCTTGCGCCATCACTCCAACCCAGCACTTTGGTTCCTACCACAAACCCGTCTTTCAATCCGACGACTATACAACCGACGACAGCTCCAAGTTCGTCACCAACGGACAAGCCAACATTCGAGCCCACGACAGTGGCGCCTACTTCGCCTCCAACTACTCTGATCTATTCATTCGGAGGAGCCACAGAAACTGCTTGTCCTGACCTCACACTAACACTCAATGTCACCACCAACTCCTCTACCACCAACTCCACCTTCAATTCTACTAGTACTACCATCATCTCGAGCAACAGTTCCACTTGGATTCAAATTGCGGACGACATCTACGGCGAGAACGCCCTTGACTTTTCGGGTGCAGCTCTGGCCGTATCCGCTAATGGCAGAATCATTGCTGTCTCTTCCACTGAGAATGATGGCAATGGCCGAAACTCAGGCAGTGTTCGCGTGTACATGTACAACTATACCTATGGAGATTTCGTCCAACTAGGACAAGAGATTGACGGTGAAAACGAAGGAGATTGGTCTGGCGAATCACTGGCTTTGGACGCCAGGGGGTATCGCCTAGCCGTTGGAGCTGGCTGGAATGATGGCGTCAAGGGAGAGGATTCTGGCCATGTTCGTGTCTTCGACTACTCCGAGAAGACAGATTCGTGGGATCTGACTGATTCCGATCTGGATGGTCCCAACGAGGGTGTCGAATTTGGAAAGTCGGTCTCCCTGTCGGCGGATGGAAATCGCCTTTTGGTAGGTGCCTCACACTGTAGAGGAGATGCAAACATGACAAGGTTGGGTTGTGCATTCCTCTTCGACTTTGTCAATGGTTCGTGGTCGCTCTTTGGCCAAATGGAAGGCGAAGCTGAAGGAGACGAGTTTGGAACAACTGTCGAGTTGTCTGCTGATGGACTATCTTTGGCCATTGGGGCCTACAGGCACGATGTTATAAATGGCACAGATGCGGGACAAGTTGCACTCTATGCCTTCAACTCTAGCACTGACGCCTTTGAATCCAACGGCGTCATCGAGGGTGTTCTCCCGGGCGAATGGGCTGGCATGGCATTTTCGCTGTCTGAAAGTGGCCATCGCGTTGCCGTCGGGTGCCATGATAGAGAGATTGTTCCAGTCCCTGGCTTTACTCGCGTTTACGAGCGGATAGATGGCGATTGGGTCCAATTGGGGACCAGCGATCTTACAGGGGGCTTCTCGGTCTCTCTGTCCAGCGATGGGTCTCGTGTGGCCATTGGAGACCACCGTGGCCGCTATGCTGGCGCAAACTCGGGCCATGTCTTTGTCTATGACTTCAACGAGGAAACCTTTGAATGGGAAATCGTTGGAACGACAATCCATGGCAATCCGCAGGAAATGGCAGGGATTGGTGTTTCCATGACTGCCGATGGCATGAGGATAGCTGTCACCGCTCCTCTTGCGAGCAACCAACGAAACGGTGCGTCGCAGGTTGGTGCAACCCGTGTCTACGACTTATGTTGATTAGCCATAGCCAAAGATGGCTGCATGTTTTAGTTAAGCATTTCAGCAACGTTAATGTAACTTCGAACTGTCTAGACCATCACACGCCTATCTACTAGCTAGTATTGAGACTGAGTAGCAATCTGAACTACTTTACTACTTTCAGCTGCCGCTTGGATGCCACCAGTACAGTGGCTTGTCATCGAATGAAGCGGGCTAGCTAGCACCACAGCTGTCAAGTTAGGTCTATCATAGACCAATCACTGATCCTCAGGGAACCGTTTTCATGATGCCAAATGAGAATCTCCTTATGACCATTCATGGCAGCCATACCACATGTCCATTTATGCCATGGGCAGCCCTGTTTATGGGCCCATTTCAAAGCTTCAAACTGGATTTGTCTATATGCTTTTGCTTCAGTGCAAGACCACTCATCCCAGGAACATATATTGCCATGGGCCCAATATAAAATCTGGATGACCTGTGTTTGTAGCATGGTTGCATACATATGTATCCCAGGGACAACCATTTTCGTGCGCCTATCTGAGAACTTATACCAAAACTGTAGCTACATTGACGGCAAATGGAAAGACGCCATATTTGGGCATGGTGTTGCAGTTTTTTGTGACTGTCACATCGCAACACGCGGTACCGGTACCAGTCGTACTGCGGTACTGGGAATAATACCGCAGGTCCCAGAATTATAGAGTGAGTCACAGAATCTCGTGATCGTATGAGGAGAAGTGACCTCCGAGCTTCGAGTACTGTACAGTATTTGTGACTCAATTTACTGGTTTAAATCCATAAGGTCATTATTGAAGTCATAAAGATCCATTTAACACATTGACTTCGAAAAGACTTATTGGAAGCAAAAAGGCTTCAAAACACGAACAAACAATGCATCCCACTCTTTGGTTTTGCCGACTCAATTTTAAAATTGTGTTTTTATGCTGAGAAAGAGTCGAATCCTCCCCTTGATGAAGCAGAAGCGCAGAAGCCAATCGCTTGATTACATTACATGTTAAGGGTGGGCATGCCCTTCCTCGAAAGCGTCGTTACGGATGGTAGATCTGGCTAGATAGAAAGTTGTTGATTGGAAACGAATCCATTGAAGAAATCTGGAACTTGGGGGTTGGAGTCATCGATCAACGATCGAGAAGGATTGAGAACAGGACGTCGCTGCTTCGATTGTCAGCACCATGAGTACGGCCGCGGCCCTGCAGTTGGGTCTCCGCGATGAAGCCTTGGATGTCTCGGAGAGAGACGACAATATCGCCCTTCTGAAGAAACCTCCGACTCGCAAGAGTTCCCGCGCTTCCTTCCTCTTGGGGCGAAAATCAGCTCATGGCATCGACACTGCTACTACTACGGGTAGTAACAAGAGTGCTTCCCGACGCCACACTCTCAACTTGTCCGTTCCGAGCAACAGCAACAGTGGCAGAGCTAGTCACAGTCGAGGAGGAGGAGGAGGAGAAAGTCGTTCCAATTCTCCCAACAGTAATGGTAAAAAGAACAGTAGTCCCGATCTCCTCAGTCTCGCCTCGGCCGACATCCCGAATCCTCTTCGTCGCACCATCAGCACGGGAAGTGCCACTGTGGCCAGCAACAGTACCGCCGGCAACAGTCGACGACTCTTGCGACGACGCACGTCCATTGGGAGTGGCAAAGAAATGTCATCGGAAGCGAGCAGTGTGGCAAGTGCCAACAACAGCAAACGACAATGTCCGGCCACCGTCTCGACCATTGCCAAACCGTCCTTGTTGGAAAAATTGCAACACGACGAAAAATTCCGAATGCCCTGTCCGTTGCCGAGTATCATGGGAGATTCCTTGGAAGAGGGGAACAGCAAAGACGATACTACTACGACAACCAACAACTCGGAGGAACCACAAAAACCACAGACGCAACAAACACATCATACTAGCAAGGCAAAACTCGTATTTCCGTCGCCGGACGACGAAGAGGACGAGACGGAACGAACCAACGAAGTGGACGGGTTCTTTCAATTTGATCCCTCCAAAGCCAAAAGTGTCAATCGACTGGTACCCGTACGAAGTGGGAGCGAAGATGCCTCCATTTTTGCCATGTATCAGACCAAAGACAACGATAATGATCATGATAACGATGATGATCACAGTGACCTGCTGCAAGTTGCAAAGAAAAGCAAGAGACAGAGTCATCATGACAACAACAACAACAATCATCACCAAACCAAGGAATCAAGGGAGGGAGAAAACGGGGCTACTACTAGCAACAACAACAAAATGACAGAGGGCTCTATGGATGGATCGGACATGCCACCTTTGGTACCCCAAAGTGGACACGAAACAGGTTCCTCCTCGAATATGATTTTTGATTCTGCCTGGAATGCAGAATTCACACTGCAATCGGACAATGCTAGGGGGCATCTTGACGACGGGGACGACGATGATAGTGCCTCGTTTCATGACACGCGAAAAGGCTTGGAGGAAGAAGATAGTGACGACGACGATGATGAGGATAATGATGATATTCCATCATTGACAGAAATGAAAAATGACAAGGCTGTTGTAGTAGTAGAGAGAAAAGAAACAAACGACGAGGACTCGACCGAGGAAAGAACATTGGAGGACCCTTCCATTGCTTCGGCAGAATCCACTTATAGCGACGAGGAAACGGAGGAAGACGAAGAGCCGGAAGGTCGTGATTCCAATCATTCACAAGCCTTGCTACAATTCAACCACAAGACACCCAACGGTTTGGATTTTGCGGTCTGCGCCAGCGACGATACCTCCATTTTCCGAATGGATAGCATTAAAACGCTTGAAGTACCAGACGTCAAAACGACCGAACTCGACAAACAGCTTCAACAGGTGACAGCGGCTCCCAAGGATAGACGTCCCTCCATGTTCGCCGGGGCTCTTAAAAAGGCAAGAAGTTTCAAAAAACCATCCAGTCTCATGTCGGCAGCCCTGGTCAAGGCCGAATCATTCCGCGCGGACAAAAAATCCATGCTCCTGGACACCACCGATCACACTTCCCTTTCCAAAAGCGATAACGAGCAGTGGGAAAGAAGAAGAAGCGCAACCGAAAAGACGACTCGAGTTAGATCACACAGTGTAGATCGAAAGTCAACAACAACAATAACAAGCGAAAACCAAAAAGAAAACATTGGTGACGATGAGTTGGTCCGGGCTAGAACTACCCATGATATGCTACCCACCAGAAAAGACCGAGCAAAGAGAGAACGAGCCAGCAACAGTGCTGGCCATGAAAAAGCCCACAGTAGCAGCAGAGAGATTGGCGATGTTTCGGACAAACAACACGCAACACGTCGTGATCGGGTGAAAGGGCGTCGTGAAAGCGCACGTGGCGGCAAGTCTATGGACATCAGCAATGATGATGAAAGGAAGGAAAGGCGTCGCAAACGAGATGCCGTGCGAAAGGCCGCTGTCGCAAAGAACATGCCAGGCCGTACGATAAGTGAAAACAGCCCCAAAAAGAGACCAGGGCATATTGGGCAGGGGCGGCGAAGGGGTACCGTGGCGGGGGACTCGAGCAATATACCCAAGGTAGACATGGATCAAATGGATTTGAGTAAGGATGGGAATACCACAATGCATGAGAGTAAGACAAGGAGGCGTTCTACCATCCGAAAATCCCAGAGCGTTAGGAACGTGGCTTCGCCTCCTCGTTCCAGTTTGAGAGAGGCATCCAGAAAGGCTTCTTTGCGCAGAACGGCCAGCAATGACGAGGGGATCACTGTGGGAACGAGGCGCCATTCCACCAATGTCAGCCGGAGGCGTCCTTCCGAAGCAAGGAGCAGCGGTCGATCTCGAGGAAATAAAGATCGCGAAGGAGCTGAACATGATATCGACCGAAGCGTCAGCCGCGAGAAGCGAAGGCACTCTCGGAGGCCTCGTCGAGCCAAGGATGTCGAAAGCAAAGATGACGATGCAATGGACAAGAGCATGGACAGAAGCGGAGATAGCGTCAATGGCACGAGATCAAGGCGACGAGATGCCGTCGATAAGAACATGGACAGAAGCGGCGAGAGCGTGAACGGCACGAGATCAAGGCGGCGAGATGGGACGGAAAAGAGCACAGACAGAAGCGGGGAAAGCGTCGATGGAACAGCCGGTAGAACAAAGCGACGGGGCGAAAAAAGACCTTCCAGGCGACACAGGAGAAGTGTCGAGCGGGGCACTGGTGGAGATGGGACAGAAAAAAGCAGCAGCGCCATGGGGGGGAGCAGCAGACACCGTGGCAGCGCCCATAGCAACGGACGTGGAAGCAATCGAGGGAGCAACCACGACAAAAAGAAAACAGACAACGGCAGTTCGACTAAGTCAAGTGCGGGTACCGGTACCGGTACCGGTTCGTGGGTGAAAAGTGGCAACAACAGCTTTGTGGTCGTCGCGAAGGAAGGAGGCGAAACAGAGGAGAAAAGGACTTCGTCGCTAAGAGTTGAGCGAACTTTCGATGCAAGTTTCCCAGACTTGAAGGCAGCCAATGACAGCCTCAGTGGAACTTTCCACAATGACCTGGAAACCGATGGCCCCACGGATCGTCGAAAGAGCTTCATGAAGTCATTGTCTTCAAAGTTCGGGGCGGGGCAAAGCACCATTGGCAAGGGAGCCCGAAATATCATCATCGGCGGCACCCGCGCGGAAAAGAAGCGCTTGTTGAGCGGCGACGATGAATCTGTGCTTTCATGACGATGACGTGCCTATTCTCGATGCGTAACGTTAGCCTTGCATAGCTAAGTGTGTAATTCTTCTTGGCCTAATAAACAGATGAAGCAATGCCGTACTACTTGTATTAGTTAGATACTACTAGTAAAAGATATATGTCATAATTCAGCTTTGCTTGTGATGTAGTGTTATGTCTATATTCCATTTGAAGTATGCACTCGTTAGGCCGCTTGTTGTACTAATAGTCAGCCCTTGCTATCAATCTTTTCTGCTTGGTTCGATTTGGTTCAGCTTTCGGGTCTCAGTCGTCGTGTGGACCACAAGATGAGATTGGAAGATGAAGAATGTCGTCTGGTAGTTCCATGAGTGTTGTTGGATCTTCTCTCTCGAACGGTAATGGCGAGAAATCGTATTCATCGTCAGCTGGATCTTTGAGCATGAACTCAATGGCTTCGCCTTCGCCAGTTGTGTCGTCAAGCTGGTGGACGACTGAAATAATATGAACGTCTTGTCTGAGAGGTGCGGGGTCTTCTCGTTCCTGCTCCTCCGAAATGCGGCACTCAGCCATGTCGACATCTCCTCCTCCATCAGCTTCTGACAGTGGGGACATCATTGTTTTCTGGGTAGCGTCGTCCTTCGTTGCGCGGCTTTTCTCGCAGATTACAACCGAGTTGCGAGTTCCTTCTGACGCATCACTCATGCGGTCGCTTGACTTGACTACCTCGTGCGCTGGTGATCTTCGCGACATGCCAGCAGAGGAAGCTGGTGACGAAGCGGAAGGAGACGAAGCGGATGACGAAGGTCTCTCCGATTTTCGTCGCCGAGAAGGTGTCACAGGCGGACTAAACTCTCGAGGCGGCGTTTGTGGAGCTTCCGAGATGGGTTCCCGTGCACCTCGATAGCTCGGATGGTAGTGATGATCCCGTTCGCCTAGCCTTGGCACATCCAGACCTTCGTGATGGTGCTCATGGTAGTAGTCGTAGTGATCGTGGTAACGAGGAGGGCGACTGTGGTGATGGCGTGGATGAGGAGGGGGCCAAAATTCAGGGTGATGAGCACGTCCTCCATACTCATGAGGATGCCCCGGATGCGGCGGAGGAGGATAATCATGCCTGTAATCCGGGGGCGGGGGAGGTGGATACGATGGGCCCGGGTGATGTCGTGAAAAATGTCGTGGAGACCAGCGAGGAGGCGGCACGATTGGAGAGAGTGGTGGCTTGGAAATGCAACCATTCGGAGTGAGCTGGTGTCTGCCCGGTGGCAGCGGAGAGTTGGGCGTGTGGACCACGGTTGGAGGAGACGTGGGTCCTGGATATCGTGGCGGTGCATGACTCCATGAATGCGGATGATGCGGGGGAGGTCTTGGTGGGCCATGGTGTTGCGGAGTCATATGATATGAATGACTGCGGTGATATGGGCGGGAAGGCTTGTACGGAATGGCACCTTCCGGAGTCGGCGGAGGTGGATAGGGCCCTCTGGGAGGTGGTCTACTCCCCGGTGGAAAACGGACTGACCAGCCTCCTCCAGGAGGAGAGACTACCGAAGACCTCGGGGATGTAGGAGACATTGGTTGCGGTGGCAAAGATCGGATAGATGCTCCCTCGGGACTAGGTTCTGCCTCTGCACCTTGTGACTTTTGCTTGTGAAGGACTTTCGCGGGGGCTTTGGTCACCGCCGAAGGATTGGATCTTGTTCTGCGGTGGCCCTTTTTCGTTGGCTTTGCCTTGACTGGTTTTTCCTTCGCACCTTTGGCGGTGGGCGATGTTGGTTTTGCCTTGGCTGAAGCTTTGTCCATGTCAAACAAGCCACTTAGGAAGTCAGGGTCGCCCAGATCTTCAGACAGCTCCTTTCGAAGACCTGCTGCACCATCCCGCAGAGCTTGACTGGTCTTTTCAATAGCCTTTCTGTCCCCAATATCTGACCTAAGGATACGAGATCATGAATGGTGTCAGCGACAGGTATTGATTTGGTACATCGTATCTTCAATCGTATCAAACTTACCACATTCCCGTGACCTGAAGTCAAGATGGAAGGAATAAGGAAACTGTATGAGTTACAGGTAAGGTGTCTTGTGTGCTACAATCATCCAATCGTACGAAACTCACAGGATTCTTTTCCAGGAAACGCCCCGGAGGCTTCAGAGACCTCACTGCTTCCACAATTGATCGAGAGATGGACATCTTCTGTCTCTTTGTGCTCGTCACGTACAGTTCCTGATCACCGCAAGAGAAACAAAAACGATGTGAGATGGTAAAGAGCGGACGGCCGAAAACCAATGTAGGACATTTCCGATCAGTTAAGCGTTTGCACTCTCTATTGAGAAAGGACAAAAAACTGTTTCCATATAGATACACCGACACCCTCGGCTGCTATCATGACGAGGTGAGGTTGCTAAACTCCCATCATTGGATTGGATACCATTCGTCTCCTGTCACGCTGTCACACCGAATTTGTCGAGACAATGACTTTGGAATCTCCTTGTTGTCTGTCGAATGCCTACGGCACCCAAGCATCTTCTGCTTACCTTGTTCAGGCTCACGAGGCTTCGAAAAGACTCGTTTCCGGGAAACCTGATGTGACGTTATTAGCAATAGAAAACCATGGTTAGTAATCATTGCGAGAGATCCTCATTTTTCTTCTTCGTCGCAAAAGAAGTGACCGCTGCGAAGATAGAGATACTTACCGGTTAGTTGTCACCCCTCTACCGCACAAAACATCGTGTTTGTGTGGCTGCTCGATGTCCACCATTTCGGTATTTTCTCCCGCGGGAGGCACCATTGGAGGAGGCGACGATCTCAGTGATGACATGCTGGCATGGTGTTGGAAAGTCGATCTTCTTATTGTCAACAAAAATAATACCGGTGAAGAAGGACGAAAGTTGTTGGCTGCAGGTAAGGTAATTGGAAACCGGTCGCACCACCGATCGGTGAGATTAATTACCAAAAATTCAGTCTAAATGTTTGTAAGCGCGTCTGGCAGCTGACAACGGAGTTTAGTGAGCATCTTCTTGCTCCTACGGTTAACTAGGCGAGTCTGCCTAGCCAACAACGGAATTACTGTATTTAGTAATGAACTCCTGCCGTGCTTGTTTTGGCCAGAATTCGGATCATCGCTGAGTATCCGTTCATCTTTTAGCCGTTCCAAATGGCAAAAATTTGGTGAACGTTGTCGAGTCATTGTTTTTTGACAATGCCACGGAACAAGGGCAAGAGTGAATGGATCATTCCGGATGTATGTGATGGATTGGTGCCTGTGGAATGACGCCCAATGAGAGTGATTCCTTTTTGTATTGCACATTTGCGCAGGTCGGCTGGTCCAAGGAGTGTGACAGAGCAACAGAGCGACGCTTTCGACGAGCGACGATGCAAGATCATTTCATCATTTGGTTGGTTGCTAGTGAAATGTACCCAGTCATGTTTATTGTCGCAGGGACTTGACACGTAATGCTTGAATAATTTTTCTTTCGAGAGTCTTCTCCTTTCAAGCGGTTGTGTGGGATCCGTTACCAAAGCAAGCCCCGGTGCAAAGGATGTTTGGCAAGCAAGAACAAGAAAGTTTTGCACAGAGTCAAATATACTATTGTGCAAAACACTCTACTGTTATCCATAGAACGACTCTCATACACATGGCGGCTCTCTTGCCGCCTTTGCATAGGGACGTCAATACTGTCTTAGAGAGGGGTGATGCGTGATGCACATATGGTCTGAAAATGGCGTATTCTTGTCAATTTATTCAGTAAGCCATAACAGCGGATCCGATGCACCCCTTTTTAAAAAGCCATGGTACTAGTACATATAATGTGTTCCAAGCGACCCCCAGTTTAGCCAACGCCCCGTTCCTGTCTTCTTTGGCGGCCCAACGGCATCTTTCAACTGTCGTCCTCGAAACTCTTGATTCCAACCAGAAACAGGCTAGGGCGGCGTCGCAACTTTTCAAATTGCTCGCGACCAGGAGGCCCATGCTGGCTGATCAGAACCGTATCAACCTACCGTACCCCCGGTTTACTTAATTCAGCCGCTCGTTCCCTTTGCAAGTAGATCCGTACCGGTACCCGTATAACACATCTCTATAGCATTGACTCCGTCCACAGAGTAGGGTCAACAGATCATACTCGAATAGGTCCGAGAGAGGGCAGCTTGAAAAGAGGCCAGGGTCGGGCTTGAATCAACACCTTTCGCTGAACAAGCGCCAACAAGGAGCTCTGGCATGGTTTCTGAACTGTGTCGTAAATCTGCACCTCTGTAGATTTCACTTTTGGAAACCTTGAGAAAAGCAAAGTTTACGTAACCGACTTGGTCTATTCGTTGCCAATTTGGTGCAGAGTGATAATCTCAGCCGTAGTGGCGTGGGCTACCGATACCGGTACACGTCGAGAGCAAAGTCGCCGAAACGCCGAGAACCTGCCTAGTTTCTGCGGCATTCAATGTTCTTCACTGTGCGGCCAAAGTTTTAAGTGTTAGGCAAGCTCCCAGCTTGCCTAAATCAAACTCAGGTCTTTGAAGGTGGAAGTGCCCCATTCTCAGTTGTTGACAAGTGTGTCATGTGTCTGCTAATGCTCGCTTCGTATCTACCCTTGCTGCCTGCTCAACAGTCGGCTCCATTGTTGTCCATATAGCTAATTGTTGATCAAAGATTCATAGTTCATCTGCTGCTGTACATGTACCTTTTCAAGTTGGCAGCGACGATGGAAGTTCGATTGATCATTCATTCCGGGAGTTGGTTTCACTTCACAGCGTGGGCGCTTACCGAGGAAATCGCTCGAAGCGGCACTCAAGAGCCCGTTTCAAATAGCTGCTGTGATACCAGTATTGCGTTGGGGAACATTTATTTTGTTGTTGTCGACGGACGCCTTTTTCTTTCATAGCCGACTGTTGTACGAGTGTGAACAGAAACAGATGCATCCCACTCTTTTTCTTCTTTACAGCATGATCCGTTTTCCATCAACGCAGGTTTGACCGCGGCATTCTGGGTACTTCTTCCTGATTTCCTTCAGCTTTCGCATATGCTCGCACCCCTGCTTCGCAAAACCATGAAACTCCGGGAAGGTGTCCTGGTTGACATAGGGAGCCATCTTGGACAGACACGACGATACAAGCCTCTTCGTCGATGAGACCGTGCACTCGTTCTAGGTCCAATTCCCAAGCGGAGCCAGCATCCACCACCGCCCGAATCTTGAGATGACCCTCTGTGGGTAAGTCGTCGCCTTTCTTTGCTTCTTAGCGCACTTGGATGAAATTGAGATGCCGCTCGTACTGGAGTCGTCTGAAGACTCCGAATCCATACTGAGTTTCGAGGTCGTCGGAAATATCGTCTGCGTCGTTTTGGGCTTGGAGAGCCGTTTTGTTGTTGCTCCTCCACCAAGACTTTTGGTGTCTGATCCAGCCACGTTGACTGATGAGCTCCCCTGGAAGCTGTAGACGGTGGATCTGGAGCGTTCCTCAATCGTGCATGAAACCAACCCTAAAATAGGGTCGGATTTAGGGTCGGATTTAGGGTCGGATTCCCTTTAGGGTCGGGTTTCGAAACCGACCCTAAAAATAGGGACGTTTTCTGAAAAATAGGGACGGTTTCTGAAAAACCGTCCCTAATTGAGGGTCGGGTTTCGTTTTAGGGTCCGGTTTTGAAACCGTCCCTATATTTAGGGACGGATTCCCCCAAACCGACCCTAAATTAGGGTCGGATTTAAAGTCATGCACGATTGAGGAACGCTCCTGTGGTACGTACCCGTAGCCATTGCTGTGAACGGTGTTTGAGGTCGTACTGGTACTAGCTTGTACCTGGTACAGTACCAGTGCGTCGTACCGGTACCGCTACCACTACTGCAACGATGCGTGCAGCAACGACTCATTCGAATCGAATCGAATCGAATCGATTCTACATTCGAATCGCACATCGAATCTGGAATCTTGAGGGAAGGGAATTTGTGAATTAGGTTCGAAAAGTGTGACACCCGTCTTGCATTTGTCCGTGCACGGACAGTTGCAGACGCACTTCCGGACCAGCGATTGCTTGAGCTGCGGTGGCATTATTGCAGGCAGCTCTCATGTGGCTTGGCATTCTGTAGTTGCAAGATTGGATGCAGCGATAAACCGTACCCGTGATAATCAGGGGAAGGAGAAAGTTGATGTCATCCCCCACCAACCCAGGTTTTTCCAGACCGTGGAATAATTATGGCTCCAATTTTACCACTGGGCTCCACTTTTTAAGTTTGGAAACAAGCAGAGTGTCTGCCACCGCTAAATACTGTTTACCAATGTGAGCTTTGAAGGCCCGAAAGCGGAATGATTGGCACTTGATTTCCCCAACCTCATGTCAGCTTGTTTGGGTACAGGAAGCCATTCAAAACTGTGTAAATATCTCTTGTGACTGCAAGTGCAGTCGGTGACATCGATCACTGAGCATGGATGATGAATCTCACCAGCGAATCTTGCTAAAGCATCAACTCCGCCTCTTTTGTGCCGTTGTGTGGCACTTTCTCGTCAGAAAGCAATCAACCGAGGGCTTTAGGTTGGCACCACAAATCAACCAAAGCAGCAAATTGTTCTAATACGTGGACAGGAATGTTGGAAACAGAGTTGTATATCATCAACATCAGTACGCGTTGGTATAGCAACAAAACCATGAACTTAGGGTCGTTATCCCATTAAAAAAAGACATTTGTACCTACCCAAGTTGGAAAGAAAGAAAAATCGAATCAGTCAACCCTTGACTTTTGCAGTGTATCACCAACCTTTTCTCATCAAAATACAAAATTTGTTAGAGTTATCAACACCATTTCATAGAAGAAGAAGAATCATAGACGGGGAATAGAAGAAGAAGAAGAAGAAGAAGAATATCCAAGCAACCATCCTGCCCGTCGAGTCAAAGAACATTATCATGAGGATCGAAGCGTTCCGCCGAGGCAATCGCCTCTTCCAGATTAAGGAGGACCAATCAACCAGAAGTGACGATGCTCCCTCTGTGGCTGAATCGGAAGTTTCCTCTGTGGACTACAACCTGGACAGCGACGATCAGTATCCAGAGCGCCGCACTCCTCTCCAATGGGTCTTCAAGGGATTGACCCTTTGGCTGGAGCTTGAAGAACACGATCAGGATTTGACCAAGGCCATCGACAATGCCCCCAAGCTTTACGGAACGCAACGGATCCCCGTGCCTCATGCCACGGCTGTGTATGGCATGACCCACTTGTCCGAAGTAGAAGCCATGGAACGATTGGCAGCCGTCGCCAAGGCATTTCCCAATGGCTGGCCTGCGAATTTGGACTGTCCCGTTTCGGTCAAATGCGACCTCGCTGTGGAGGGACGACCGGGCCAAGTTTGTTCCATTGCCTGGGCCGAACTGACGCTCAAAACCAACGAGGACCATGAAGCAGCCATTGATACGATTTATGAAATCTTTGGAGCGGAACGCAAACCTGGACAGCCCTGGACGCCTCACATTAGTTTGGCCTACGACAATCCGGAAGATACTGTCTTGAATTTGGCAGATACCATTTCCTACGTGGCCCAGAATCCGTCTCTCATGCAGACTCGTCGCGTCAAGGCAGTGTCCTTGTGGTCCACAGAGGGCAAGATGGCGGAGTGGAAGTGTTTGGATCGGGTGAGCTTCTTTTAGATCTTTTAGAAAAACAAATTGGCTGCTCTCTACTAGAAGGGCAACAACCCATTTCACATTACATGTATAACAATCTCCAACTACTACGGTAGCTTCAAAAAACGTACCATAGAAGCCTATATCTCATAAAGATTATTTGGCGTCATGGGGGTGCCGCTGGAGTCATTGCGTCTCGCATCCGAAGCCTGTTGTCTCAAATTGCGAGCTGTTGGCCTCCAAACAGTCACCATGCGATCAGGATGTTACTACAATCGCAAGTGCTGTGGCCATGAAAACCTCAAGGGGTGAAAAGGGCAGCTCACTGGTTTTGTGCTCCTACTGGTACTCGCATTTTAGGTACAACAACAGCAAGGCTGAGGGTACGAGCACCAGCGCTAGCTAACAACTTCCAGCCAGTACTGTTGCCAGGAGACAGGGACCATAGGACCAAGGAGAGAGGAATCTCTCTGATACCGTAACGTTCGCCTTCTTGGAGATCTGAGAGATGAACCTGGAGATTATCGCAAATACTCTGAAGATGAAATATGTATTCAAGCTATGTTTCATTACTCTCAGTCTTCGTGGACTGTCCGTACATTCCACACTCCTCACTTAGTTAGCTACACCCAAAAATGGGATGGAATTCCTTTCTGTCGCATATCGTGAAATAGTTTCAACGAATCTGCAACACTCTCGTTCATACCGCGCTGGCGTCCCCAATGAGGCTTGAGCTCTGCTTGGTTTACATGATGTTCAAAGTAAAACTGATCAATCAGTTTGCTCAGTTGAGGATTGTCCAACAATTGCTGTGCCAGCTCTCTTTCAAGTTCTGGAGTATCCACATCCAACTTGACAATGATGAAATCATCTGGCTTGTAGTTCTCTACCAACAGCTTGAAAGGGTTGCGGCGACTATGGGTATCCGAAGTAACTCCCACATTGATCCAGTGGTAGGATGCATCCAGGTACTCTGGCACATCATTGAAGACTTGCTCAGGATCATGCTTTCGATACTCATACCCATACACATGATCAAAATGGAACCCAAACTTGCGATAGTTCTGGATCAGATCCAAAACTGGAATTTTGCGGCCACCATGAAAGCTAAGAGACGCACCCATGTCTACAAAGACAGTGCGAGAATGGGGCTTGAGCTTCTTACACATCGCATGAAAGTCGTGCAAAAGGTAGTCTGTGTTCATCAAGTGTTTACTCTGGTAACAGAACTGGGGGTGTCGCACTAAAAAAGAAGGTAAGCTTTGGTCCATGCTTGGGTATCAGTGGTTGTGCCAACAGACACCTAGCTAGAGCACTAACTTACTGGGAGGCAAGAGTGGTTCCACCCACCCTGAGGAAGAAAGTGACAGCTGCTGGCTCTTGTTGAAGATTGCAGGAATTCCACCAGGGTGCAGCTCTAACAGATCACAGATGCTGTTGTCAAACTCGGTAATGTTCTCTCGTAGGTCCTTGATGGGAGTGTGAAAGTCATTCACTAGCTGGTAGTAATAGCCCAACTCATCAATGAACGCCTGAAGTCGACCATGATAGGGTGTAGCATGAGGATCTGTGAAGACATGGCAGGAGGGGGTCCACTCAGGCACATCCAGTTTCAGTTCACTGACATGTTCCAAGACGTATGTTTCCACTGGAGCTGGTCTGTAGGGACCAAAGTCTACTTCTTTCAAGGCATTCATGTGGTTGCGTTGAATGTTCTCTTCAAAGTTGACATCCGTCATCAGAACCTGGAGCTCTCTGGTAACGTTTGAAGACCGAAGGACGGCAAGCATCATGCACGTCGCCACGAAAAAGATGGCGGTATTTCCTCTATTCGTCATGGTTTTCTTTTGGTGGATCTAGCTAGCTGGTGCTACGGCATCAAGTTGGCAAATATTGCAAGCCCAAGTAAAGAAACGGTGCGATTGTGATTCTGCAACTTGAACGCTTCGGCAGCATTGTCTTGTGAACAAACCTATCCGTTGCATGGTCGTCTCACACATTTTTGGCGTACCACAAGGTCCAGAAACGGTATTCGAAGCATTAATTAAGATAGTGAGTCGTGTTTCGTGACCCGGTTGCGGAGGATCCGAAGAAGATCCAACGGGCCAAGCCTCGTTTTTCTGAGGCCTGCTGTCTTCTGAAGACAGCAGTTCAGAAGTTTGGGTGGACTTGGCAAAACAAATGAGCGACGATGAGAGAGGCGATCCTCTGGTGGGCCTATTGGTCGGGAGACATGTCTACTACTGCCACAAGTCGACCTTGGCGAACGTATCCGGATCGTACTTTGAAAAGCGCTTTGGACGATTCTTTGAAGATGATTTTGTCCATCGCGACGACCACTGCCATCCCGTCTACCTAATTGAACGAGACGGACACCTCTTTTCCTACATTCTCAAGTATATCACCTCAGGACCGCTGAATCTGCCAACCTTTTCAGAAAATCCACAACTCTGGAGAGACCTTCGAAGCGAATCAGACTTTTTTGCCCTCGATGGATTGGCGCAAGACCTGATTGTGACGCACAAGTGTCCCTTTAACAAGCAAGGTACAGGAGTGTTTCACTGGCTGGGAACCCAAAAGGGCCAAAGCAGTTCCTACCAAAATCCCTTCAAGTTGGAAAATGTGCAAGTGGGGTACATGATGGCTCCTAGTACCGGGAGTGCTAGTAGTGGCAGGGCTGCTGCTGCCACTTTTGAACCCGTTTGGAATATTGACAATGCTTGTTTGGTAGAACACCGTGTTCCCACACTATTGAAAAGCCGACATTTGGACAATCTGCATGAAATGGCGCATACCGTGTTAAAACCACGAGGAGGACTCCATTATCTTTGGTTTGAGAATCGGACGCGCGGTAGAGGATTGGTACGGGCACCGTGGATCTTTGTTCTACAAGATGGCCTTTCCCTGCATCCATCTCATGTCTCGCTACGAATTCTGAACCGACTGGCATGTCCCATGAATCTGGAAGCTTCCATGGATGGTCTTGTGTGGGACTTTTTCCGGTTGGAAGTGGTCCCATCGGGCAGTGGGGCCACGGCCGACCAAATGATGCGGGATCTTCGAACCATGCTATCGACTACGCTCGAGAATTTTCCCGAAGACGACAACGAACGATGGTCGGCCTGTTTGGAACAAGCAACCAGTTTTGCCGATTTGTATCTTCGGGGGAACTACAAAGTGGTGACACCGACGCCAACAGCGACAATCCAATTCTACAGATTCTTCCGCTTTGTGGGCGCCACCTCTGGAACAGACACCCAATCCAACATGTGCACGAGTATCGAGTTCTTTGGGGATGTACACGAAGACTAAACGCGGTGGAGAAAGAGAAACTGGGGATATTGAGTTGGCTGACGGCACCGGGGTTGCGGTGACAAAGCCAAACTTCAAAGGGCATGCAGGCACAGTGGGGTATCGAAGTGCTCAGATAACAGTACTGCAAAGTCGTGCTTAGAGCTACCGTGCCCTGTAGTTCAGTAAAGGGAATTGGCCAACATTATTTCGAGTGCATCTGGATGTAAGCAGCAGCAATCCAGTAGCATTGTCATTCCATGAGACCAGCAAATCATTTCAGTGAATTTCGCTTCAAACGCCCGTAGCCTCGGATCCAAAAGAAGCCTGGAGGCTGCATGGGCGTTGTCATTCCGGACCACCAAAGTGTCTTGCGTTCCCGCGACTGATTCAAACAAGTGCCGCCCTTCTAAAGGTTCAGTTGCCTCAGGATCCAGCTGATCAATTGGTGCAGATCATAGCCAGCACTTCTAGGCTGGGGAATGAATGCCAATCGATGGCTGTCTGCATCCACGGCAAACCAACGAAGGGGCCAAACAGCGTATGCCTTGTGGAAGTTGTCGTCAACAGGGTCAACAAGACGAACGAATTCGTCGCCCACACCGAGCTCTGCAAGTTTTTCTTGTGCGAGTGCGATCCGATCACTTGTAGTTGTCGGCTGATTGACTTCCACACCATGGCCCACTGGCCACTCATCTGTGGCATGTGCTTCACTGATGTAGACAAACGCAAAAGTCACACAATGTCCTAATTCCTGGGGGGATTTTTCAAGATGCTGTTATAGAAAGTGGACACAACCAAAAGGAGATACGTTAGAACACTTACCTTCGCCAACAGGGCAAGAAGCCTGGCCCTTTGGCGGAAGGGGGGTCAGGTGTAACTCGCTCCAACCTTGAGGGAGTATACAACATCTGCGCGGTTAGGACCACATGCTAAATGGAAAGCAGGGAGCAACTGGCAACTCACCAAAACAACGGGCTTCCGGCGAATGTCGTTCTCCAATGACTCAGAGAAGGATCTTCGGCGCTCAATCTCAGTCCATAGAGTTGTTGGCTTGCCTTCCATCGTACATAGCTTGACATCCGGGGCATCATCTCCAACAACGAGTGAGCCTGCATGGCACTTGTTGTGCTTCACGTAGTGAGCTATTTGGGCAATTTCTGGAAAGAGGAAAGTGGCAGATCTAATGAATTCAATACCGACAACCGGATCCACGCTGAACTCCTCTGAAACAAACACCTGCAAAGCTGTAGTGAAAGATGACATTTCGTCCTCGTCCTCACCAATGGCACCGAGCTTTGCTTGCACGAGTGGATGCAGCCGCAGCTCATTTTCATGCCTTAGCAGCAATGCCAATAGCTGTTTGGCATCCTCAAGCGGAAGACTCTCCAAGTCACTCCTTCCAACACGCCGTTGTGGTTTGGTGTCGTCTCGTGCCATGTGCGGTGTGATACAGCGATCAAAATCAAACCCGCTGGTGTCCATCTCTAGTGCATTCTCTGAGGGTCGACCGCAGACCAGATGGCCGTCGCATTTGTTGAGCTTGACGGAGCTAATGTTCTCAAAATTGTTGCGACCGTTGACGACGCCAAGCATTCGCATGACCCTAAACCTATCTTCCAGAGGCGGTCTCAACTTTGCTTCGAGGTCCCTCGTCATGGTCCTGGTTTGTCGTGGCACGTACAATGGATCGTTCTTCATCATTGTCGCTCGATAATCCCCATCGGTCTGGAACAGTCTGCAGACTTGCAACATGTCTTCGGTGACAAGATTCTTCGCAATGGCTTTGAGCATCACTTGAGAATCGACAGGAACAAATGCCAGGCGAACCAGAGTAAGAAGATCTTTGGTCTCGTCAAACGAAGCGTTGGTTGCATCGGCCCAAGTCATAAGGGCATTCAAAATATCATCTTCGGGTGCCTCGACGAAATTGGAATGGAGCATGGCTTCCAGTTGTGGACTTTCCAATTGCGCCAGGGTTCCAGCCCGTTGCACGGCAGCAAGATTGCGACATAGATACTTGTGGCAATCCAAGAGCAGTCTCTTAGCTCCGGTTTCCTGAGCAAAGTGAATCATTTCTACCAAGTGTTCCGCATCAATTCGAGTTGCCAGAGCCTCTTCGCACCGCAGGGAAGCCGCCTTCATTCCCAAGTAGGCTGCGGCATCAATCAGGTGCAATATAGATTCTGTCTCCTCTTCGCACATATCCAATGCGTTGGAATACAATCCATTCAGGAGTTCAATTATGGTATCTTTGGCAAAATGCAGGGAATCTAGGCGAAGGATTCGTTTGGTCCCTGCTTCTTCTGTCGCCCATCCTCTCCCAGACAGCACAGCAGCAAAATACTCTGAATTCGCGCACAAAATGGCAGCATGACAGTCAATCGTCCATTCATGTTCCTCTTCGGCGCTGGCACCTGGGCTCCCAATGACGGAAACATCAGATTCCTCCCAAGGAGTGGGGAGATATCCTTCGCTCCAATACATGGGGTTAAGATCTTGCACATCTTCCATAATATCACTGCTATTTTCATCCAGACAAAACCTGTTCTTTTCTTCTTCTGTCTTTGGAAATATCCCATAGCAAGAAGCAATTGCAGTGCGCAGTTGTTCTGGATTTTCAGTGAAGACATAGTCATCCACAATGATTTCTTGTCCAGGTTGCCACTGGGATGGTGGTTTCCCTTCGGGGGATGTTGTTGCGACACCACGCTCATCTTGCAACAAAAACCAAGTCAGTTTGTGGCCAAATCGAATCTCTTGTTTTCGTGCCCCCACAATCTTGCTGTGGGCCTTCACAACAGTGTCTGTTCCGGCGACACGAAAGGTAATGTCGCAGCCCATTTCCTCTTGAAACAACTTGGCCAGGCCTTCCTTGTACGCATCTTCCCAACTGCCAGGATGTTGGTTGGCCACCTCGGCTGTCAAGGACCGATGAACAGGCAGAGGTTTGCGATTCACGACTATCGACGTTGGTAGACACAGACGATTCGTCCTCCTCGACCAAGATTTCAGTAACTGGCGCGTTGTGGTAATGGTTCTCTCTCGTTCGCGGGACGAGGGGGGCCCGAAATTGCGCCTCCTGGGCGGAGAGTTTCTTCGGCGCTCTCGCTGCGCACGCTGCCGCCTTCGTGTTAGTTCACGGGCAGCATCTGCTGGATCATACGACATCTTGTTTCTTTGCTTGAGAGCCCAGTTGATATACCCCCAACAAGTCACCGAAAGCCGCAAGCTCTTGAAAAGAGCCCAGAAAATACCCAAGCCAGTCTAGTGCAAGCTACGAATCGAAGGCACGCGAAGATGAAAACAGGTCCTCTTGCTACGGTAGAGGATGACAACCAAGAAAAAGCCGCTACAGTCGTACCTTTGAGAGAATATTGCGAGATTGCGAGGAATAACCCGTTGTGCGTTAGGTTGTGGATTGTGGATCTTTGCGTTGTGAGATCCAAGACACAAACTTATTAAGCCAGCAGAGCTATCAGCTACGAGTACAGAAGCTCCCAGTTTCTTGAATCCTGTCAACACGTCATGCCGGGAAAATCAGAAATTCCCTATGACCGCGATTTACAGTCCAATTAAGTCTAAGACCAAAGCCAATAAATAACTTCTTGCACTTGCTGTCTGGCTTCTGTTCTTACTGTACTATTAAAGTATCTCCCCCGAGTCCGATTAACACCAATCATGACTTTAATAATCAAATCGGTCACTTATTGCATGGTACGTCCCGCGAATGCACATTTAAACATGTAGGGCAGCAGCGAAACGAGACACCGGTACTAGACTACCGGTACCGGTAGTAGATGGGAGCTTGTTTCAACAGCTGTTTTCACACAGCAACACTCCAAACAACATCCCTCCCCGCAACTATTTCTGCAAGACACCGTAGCCAGAGTCGAGTCTATTGGTCCTCAGCCTTCCAACATTATACACTGACCACACGTCGTCTATAGCTAGCTAGCTAGTAGCTAGATATTCATCTTCCAGCAGCCTCTCAAAAATGGGAGGACTCTCCGACGGCCAAGGTGAGCTAGAGTAGCCGAATATTCGCTTCGTGAGACCCAGGGTTTCCATCTGACGCATTCTGTTTGACTTATGTATCCACTTTGTACTGCAAAACAATTCCAACATAGCTGTTGGTCTGGTTGTAGTTGCCTTCACTTCTGCTGTCCTCTCTGTGCTGGGTTCAGGTACCATCATATATTCCATCTTGCATAGACGGCGGGGATCTCTGCAACATGACAATCTCCATCAGCTGCTCCTTGGTCTGAGCTTTTCAGATTTGTTGGCATCATGGGCCGTTGTCATGGGTGGATTTTTGTATCCAAAGGGTGTTTCGGATGATGCTCCTTTGGCACTGGGGAATGCAGCATCATGCAATGCTTCGGCATTTGTCAATGCTTTGTTCGGCACCTCCAGCACGCTCTACAACTGTTGGATTTCCATGCATTTTTGGAGGGTGTTAAGGAAGACACAGAAACGACAATCCCAGTCCACAAAAATGGATTGGTGCTTTCGGGTCACAGCACATTCGTCTGCTGTACTTGTGGGATTTGTGTTTGCAACCATTGGAATTTTGGGAGATAGGTTTGGCCCTCATTACTTTTTGGGTATGTGCTATTTTACACCACCCTGCAGTGACAGTAATGAAGACTGTGCCGAGACAAGTGGTTTTGAGGTCAATCATGTGTTCAGGGGATTTTTGGCCCTGTGTGTTATCATCAGCATTGGTTGCACTATTGCCGTGGCCCTGAAAGTGCGAGCCAACCTGAAAAGGTCTAGGAAGTACAGCACCTCGCAAATGAGTGCCACACAGACGACATTTGGTGGTGACAGCAATAGAGACTTCACAGTCACTTCCCAAGAAGGTGGTCCAACTGCAAACTCAGGAATAGAAATGGAACTGGAAAGCTCTGCAGGTAAAGGAACGCCCAAAACCAGGTCCAAGGAACAAGACGTCGCATTCCAGGCTGTTTGGTATACCATAGCCCATTTGAATACCGTTGTTTTGCCCATTGTTGGAATCCTTGTGGTCAACATGACTGATGAGGAAGCCAGGAAGGGCGATCCAGGGCATTACACTTTCTTGCTACTTCTCTACTGGTTCATGCCGATTCAGGGGGCTCTCAACATGATTGTGTTTCTACGGCCACGGTATATTCGTTGGCAAGAATACCTGGAGAGACAAAATCTAGGGCATCGCAGCAGAAGTCAACCAAATGAGGAAACAAACACTCAGCAGCCATCAAAGCCATCGTGGCACTATCTCATTGGGCTGGCCATATTGGAAGATATCCCCGCACGAGGCGGTCGGCGACAAGCCGGAAGGTGCCCCTCTAATGTTGCAACCAGAAATTGCATATGCTTTCTTCTGGACCGCCAATGTTGTCAATCACGGAATCTGCTGTCGAGGCTCCTGCTTTGAATTTGTCACCTGGCATGTTGGTAGAGCAGTGCGTGCTGGAAGCCCCTTCATCCTCTCATTCTTTTGCGGATGAACGTGACAATGGCAAAATGTAGGTTGTCGAGAGCACTTTTTTGTGTGTGACACCGTCAATGTGTCGAGGACGTGCCTTCGAGGTGACACCCGCCACAAGTGGATCTCATTTGCATTGCACGCAACGACTTGCGGCGTATCAATTTGAAGAGGACGATTAGTGCTTTCCGTGCACCGATACGAAGACCCTGAAAGCCGCCGAAGCCCGAGTCGTGTTATGCCAACAAGACAAGTTGAATTGTGGTTGCTTCACCGTGGTCTGTTTGGCCGCAGTGTCGCTGCTGTTGGTTGCCTTTGTATCGGTGCACCAGATATTCTACTTCACCGTGCAAGCGGATGATGAGAAGATTCAGCATTGCACTATGCACGTTTACTTCGTGGTGGCTAGAAGCGTTCATCGAGGTAGTATAGATGCGTGTTCGGGCTGCGTCACGAGTTCACTCGGCATGGGCGGTGCGTGCAACGGCATTCTGTCACCTCCGAGCCCATTCAGATACCAGTACACCATGATAGGGGTGACTGAACCCCCTGACCGATGCAATGCGAGTGATGGCCGAAATTGCCACACTCATGAGCACCAAACCACTCTATTGAACTGCTGAAGCAACGTGCACCGAATGTGGCTCCTTCGTACCGTACAAACCTCGCGCAGGGACCAAGAGCCGTTCTTATGCCTTTTCGAGGTGCCCTCAAGCCTTTTAAAAGATTTATGAAATATTCACTGAGCGGTACTCATAGCAAGGATCCCTGTACAAGCCGGCGCTACCGGCGGATGCGCTGTAGCAAGATTTAGATTCACAAATAATGCATGGACACATCATACTGTCACACCGAGCAGTTATGCAGCCTGTCAACAATAAAGAACATGAAGCTCCTCTTCTTGATCTGTGCTGCAACCTTTGCCACCCAGAGCATCTTGCCGGGTCCACCGTCCGTAGCAGCCTTGACGTTGACACCACCCAGAAATAATCCTATACCGTTACGATTTTTCGTTGGTGGCCTGGGGTATTGTGGATCTCGCTTGGCTCTTGAGTTGCGTCAATCCTTTCCGTCCAGCCATATTGCCGGTTGTGTCCGATCAGAAGAGTCTCAAAGAGCAAAACGCAAAATTCTCCAGCATGCAAATATTCATGTTCATGTAATGGATCTGGATCAAGAATACAAAGGACTTGATAGTGATGGATTAAAGGATCTGTCCTTGGCCACGCACATAGTCGAGACGATTGCACCCATTGCCGATTTCAATCGAGATCCGCTGTTGGCACTGCATGCAACGAGACTCCAAGACTCCAAAAGTTGCAATGGGTTGGCTACTTGTCGTCGACCGGAGTATACGGAGATCATCAAGGAGACTGGGTCGATGAAGAGGCGGAATCGAAATGTACCGATGACAAGAGTCTCGCGCGCATTCAAGCTGAAACAGAGTGGCGACAATTGGAGCAGCAAGCTACTGTCCGAGTCGATTGCTTTCGGTGTGGTGGAATTTATGGTCCTGGGAGAGGGCCACTGTTCTCCGCTTTGGCTTCACCAGCATCCATGGGTACGGTGCCTGCTGACAATTCCAACAATTCCCCACCCAAATATGTCAACCGTATTCTAGTGGATGATATTTGTGCTGCCATGGTGGTTTGCATTCAAAAATCCACTAGTATGGGAGGAAAAGGATCCACCTACAATTTGGTAGATGACGATCCAGCGCCACGAAGAAATGTCATGAAAGAAGCACGCAGGTTGCTACACGTGGATGATGCAACGGACAGTGTCGTTGCCACTCAACCGAAACGTAGACCGGTAAGCCGTAACACTGGAAACAAACGGTGTCTCAACCAAAGACTCAAAGACGACTTTCCGGAATGGGTACAACAGAGAGTGGCCCCGACCTATCGCGAAGGACTGGCATACCTATTGCAACAGCATCAAGAAAACAAAGTCAATCTGGAGGACAGAAATCAACCTAGCCAGGTACCGTAGCTGAATAAAGCGTAGATCGGAAATTTGTCTCTGGCGTCTTCCCTTGCTTGAGATATCGGGAGGGTTCATGCTGAAGATTTGGCTTTTTTAAAACTAAGATAGATAGCAGACTGCATCATTCATAATATGTGTCCTTGATTTGCTCTGAGTTCTGGCTCTTGATCAACGTGATCTGACACTGTAGCTCCAATGAAATTGAATACAAAAGTTAAATTGGGCACGCCTCCATGTTTTCAACCACTTTGCTATGGATCGATGCATCTTTCTTTTTCTGATCGGTCATCAAACCTGCCTTCGGGAACCAAATTCGTAATGAGACAAAGCAGCAGAAGAGGACAGTACAGTGAACAGTGGTACTGTACCAGAATCCAGTTATGCCGTGGACACAACTCCAGGGTATGCATCGACAGGACAGACCGCACATCCCCGGCTAAGCGCAGGAGAGAACCATCTAGCCATCGTCGAGAGCTCCAGAGAGGAGTTACGTACCAGTATCGTATCTTTCAAAAGTATCCACGTCTCAAGTAAGTGTCCGACTTTAGGACCGAGTGACCACAGCCACAATTTTGGAAGCATGGCAGAGGTTGGCCGGGTGCAAAGCTGACAAGCTGACAACAGCAGTCACGCAACAAAGATACCGCGACCGTGATGGAGTGCATGGCATCTCAATTCTATTTGTTCTATTGCTTCATCGCCGAGGACAAGCCAAACCGCGCCGTTCTCGAGAGCTCAAATAGCAGAGACGAAGCCTTGTCTTCTACATTGCCATGATTCGTGTAAAGATCCGATACAACAGCCCATCGGCACAGGGGAAAATTCTGCGCTTTGATGAGTCCATGAAGTTCCAAGCTTTGCTTTCCAAAATCCTAAGGAAATTGGGCATCCAAAGCAGTGAACATGACCTGAACCAGTTCCAACTGTTAATGGATGGCAACGTGGTTGTGGAGGACACAAGTGAGCTTGATGATGGTGATGACCTCATCGTGAAGAAGGTCAACAGCTTTAGTAGCGAGGATTCCGATCCTAGTATACCAGGCAAAGAGCGATCCGGCACTTCCAAACAGAAGGCCAAACAAACGATGCCGAAAAAGAAAAGTATGGAACGAAAAGATCCAAAATGCACAAACCAACAATCTGATAGCGCAACTGCCGTCGACAAGACAGAAGAAGGCCCAAGCGAAGAGCATCAAGCGCAACCAAAGGTGGATACCAATGCACGAAACGCCGCCAAAATCAAGAACAGGCCCAGGGACAACGACCGGAAAGAGAAACCGAGGCAGGAAAAGGCGAATCGGTCTGGGAGACGCCCGCGCAAGAGCGACGTTCCACCTCCTGACCGAGTGAAAAGTCTAAGTGAATGGGCAGTCTATGAGACCACATCCTCGGAGGACAGCAAGGATCCCGACTTTGAAGCTTCTGATACCACCACCACTACCTCCACCAGTTCTTCAAGTGATGAGGACTCTAGTGATTCCAGCGAAGAGGAGGACGCACAAGAGACAGTAAGAAGGGACCAGAGAAGCAAATCAGGGACCGAGAGGACACAGACCGTGGGACATGGTCAGTCTACTTTTGAGGCAGACACTTCTACAGTACATGGTCAACGCTTCGAACACGCCATTTCTTCTATGACGAGGCATCCAGGTGCCAGAGAATCCTTCTACAACCGTGATGATGCTGTTCCTGATGCCCCCTCAAGTGACGGAGTCTTGCGCAATACAGATGATCTTGAAGCTGCAGAGAGACAACATGCGTCAGAAACTGAGTGGAGCTCGAATCCTGTCTCCGACGAGCCCACAAACCGCACTAGAATTCACACAGAAGATCAACCTACAGCCGAAGAACCTGCTGCGACCTCGACAAGCACCGCAATAAAAACAGAACCCTCCTCTGACAGTGAACACATTTACGAAGATACCTCTGCCAACAATGGCGGACTTAAAACAACGGTTGTCAACACAAGCGGACTTACCGGTACACTGCGGGTTCATCTCCCGGGCCGCCAGGAACTGGCAACCGAGGAAAGGAAAGTGGCGCACAACAACCGGCAAATACCTCCGGATCCCAGGGGTGACAGAGTTGCCACTCCTGACGTGGACCGCATTCTTCCAGATGAAATATGGAGCACAGGCAACGCTAGATCAGCAGGGCGGCCTGGGATGTCTACCATAACTGAATTGGCTCTGGAGGACACAAGCGGAGGTCCTGGCACCCTGAGGCGACAACAAAGAAGCGAAAGTGAACATCGATCGAGCAAAGAGATGACTTACCAGACCGCCTGGAAGGAACCTTCTTTACCAGAGGCATCCATTGCTGCTTCCGAACCAGTGCCACCCGCTGCTGCGTCCGAACCAGTGCCACCCGCTGCTACGTCCGAACCAGTGCCACCCGCTGCTACTTCCTCAAACGCCGATTCGGACATGCCCGCCCTTTCACATGCTCCCAAGAGGCACAATGTGAACCTCAATTCGTTCGTTGTGCAAGCGGTTGCTGGTAGCGGGCGAATATCACCAAAGTCGGTGTTCATATATCAGACGAAGAATCAGCGTCCGTATCCAAATGCAAAGGCGGCCATTTGGTACCGATGCGGTATTCAATGGTTTGATTGTGCTGTCGACGACGAAGACCCACGAATTCATTGGCCCAGTGCAAACTTCGAGCTCTGGCGGAGTCTCGACAAGCCTTTCAGTTCCATCATAGGGATCCCCGACGGTTACAGATGGTTTGCAAGCAACGCTGAAGCCAAAATGTATGCTTCTCTTTCCTTTATTCTTTACCACAAAGAACAGTTTGGGGGTGATACATCTTTGAAACGATTCCTTGAGATACCAGCATCCCCGACGGAAGTGAGCCCATTCGAAGGCATCGCTTCTCATTGCGTGTTTGTAGATCCGACAGGCAGGAAAATTGCTGTGGGTGTCAGAGACAACGACGGTGCGACCGGGTATTTCTTGGTCGATGAGGAAGGCAACCGAGCTAGCGAGGTCCTCAAGCTCCCTATTCTAGGAACCGCAACACGCGCTGGGAACTACGCTAACCAAAAAGTTCCATACCGCGGCATCATTCGCCACTTGGGTCCCTTTGACCGAGAATCACGCTGCTACCTAGGGTGCATATACAACTTGAAAGTGAGATGGTCTGATGGCTCTGTCAGCAACGAGCCTCTGACAGCTTTCGCGGAGGATGCGTGGAATGATTGCGTTGAGTATGCGAGGAAACACAATCTGCTCTCCAAGAAAGGCTGGAAATTTTTGAATGGCAGGAAGAACCACATGCGTCCAGGCAACGGCGATACCAGGCACAATGAGAATGCCTCTCATGGTCGGGGCTATTATGTTGGGCATGCTAAAAGGGTCGAAAAGAGCTACGATCGTTCGGAGAATTCGAAACGCCCACGCCGCTTCTGAGCCCGAGCAACTTTACGCTTAGGCTCAGTTTGGTGTTGCGACGATACGTGTTCAATATTTCCTTGATCCCTCCACACGATACAAATACAATTAGTTTGCTCCTGATTGGACACGGGCTACGATGGCCCAACAGTAGATTCTTGACATGCTGCAGGGAGGTGGTGGTGGCGATGGCGATGACAATGACGGAGGAGGAGAAGAGACAGATCCCACTAGCACTAGTGTGGAAAGATCCTCTGATGACGGCGAGAAGGATTTGCAGTCTACGTCCTCCTCCATGTCCTTCATGGTATCAGGGGACCCGCTCAGTACTCTGGGTAGCATCCTGCTTGCTACTGTGACCTTCACTATGGTGTAGTAAGACTGCAGAGCGAGAGAAATGAGCACTCCTTTGAAGTGAAAAGTGCATACGTAATCATGCATGTAGGCCGCTTCAAAATATGCAATGCCTTTGTATCCATCTAGTAGGATAGCTGGAGCGAGGAAGCAAGTGTTGTTTCTTCTTTCTAATCTTTTGTCAGCGCGTCTGGCTATGGCACACCGTAGCTGTATAGGTCAAAAGCACCGTATCATATCTGTGCACCAGGTATCAGAGCCAAAATGATAAACAGTACTCCAATAAGTGCCATGAAGAGCGAGAAGGGCTCCAGGGGCCTTTCCATGCCTTTAGCTCTTGTGACAAGCATTCGGATCATGTCTAGGCTCATATCGGTCATGCTTTTCCAACCCACCATTGTCGAGTTTACATAGCTGGCTAGATGCGTCATGAGACTTGCCATGACTAAACACACCCCAACTCCAAGTTCCAGGTGGTTTCTTTCGTAGCTCTCGGACGAAAAATTGAACAATTCGAAAGAGTAGAGAATCTTGGCCGTCACAGCCAGTAGGAACCCAAAGCAAGAGACCAAGAAGGACCATCGGACGCAGACAAACTCAAAATGAAACTCTCGAAAGAGAAACTCGTATCCAGTCTCGGAGAAAGGATCAAAGTTGCCTGTCAGTCCCCTCACGAGAGCTTGGGAACAGAGGACAATGACATTCATGCTCAGGACAAAGGAAAGGCCTTGACAAAGGAGACAAATGAGTTGCAATTGTCGTTGAATGCTGGAATCATCGGGGTTAAAGCTCGTTGCGAATAGCTCCGTGAAAGAAGTCGCCGCTAGGAACGATGCAGGGACTCTGACGGATGCAAAGTATCGTTCCACAGCTCCTGATTGGTCGCAGACCTCGCAGCCCTCCGGGCTTGTTGCTGTCATGGAGGCTGCCAAGTCTGATCGCGGTGGACCTATCATGCCGGCTACAGTGCTCCATCTTTGTGATGATTGTTGTTGTATTGCCTGAGGCGTCTCGGTCGAGTATCTGTGTGCATGGTGATGCTGTTTGACTTGGACACTGAACCTGGGATGCCGAGGCGGTTTTTGATGCAGCATAGAACTCTTGACATCATCATCTTGTTTGCGAACGAAATCGAATTCTCGGTCAACCTGGCTCAGCTCTATGTTGGACGCCATGGTGGTTGGTTGTGTTTGTGGTGGTCGTACCGTACTGTACTGTACGGTACAGCTCGTACCGGTATGAAAGGTTTGGATGCTTTCTTGTTGGAAGAAAAATGCTGATTTTTCATTGGAGGTCTCTAGCTCTAGCCTGCAACGGTGATCAGGGAGGCCAAAAACGGTAAAATTCGCCGTGTTTGGCCAGCACTTGTCACTCCCAGACTCGTCACTCCCACAACGTAACTTCCATCTCAGTCAGCTGCTCAGGCGAGGTCCTATCCATTCTCCATGTGTGTCCTCCGTGCATTCACGAAACACATTTATTTTCGTCGATTTATTTAGTTGTACGAATCAAGATTTCATTCCTATCCACATACAGTGGTTCGCACATTCCCAACAGATTCTGCCAAAACGCAATCACCGTACGTCAGGAAAACTCGTGAAAATCGCATATGATTGTTCTTTGATAGAATCTCGTGGGTTATCCTCGTGCATGTGGATCCACCAGGATTGATGTGGATCAACCAGGATTCGTTGGGTGACTGACGACTGACGTTTTCGGAAGCTCGGCTGGCTCTAAGCGAAATCCATTTCCACGAAAGCTGCGGTACGGCGAATTGAGAATGGGAAATCAATGGTTCGCCGTACCGCAGCTTTCGTGGAAATGGAGTGAAAGCAGGCCGATTTTAACAGTTAAATTGATTTCACGAACGAAGGGAGGAATAAAGAGGTTACAATCGATGGTTAGGACCCCGCCTCAGGCCCCCCAGCTCAGAGCACACACTACCGTGTGGCTAACGTGGTGGCTAAAGTTGTGGCTAAAGCACCAGATTTAATTCACCTTTTTTAGCAAGGGCACTCTCTACCATGAATGAACTAAATTTGCTGCTAAATGTCCATCCTCGTTTAGCCACGGATTTAGCCACGATTTTAGCCAAATCGGTCTCTACCATGGTGGCTAAATAAATGAGAGGCTAATGGTCAACTTTTCTTACAATGGTACTTCACCGGCCGTCAACATTAAGAGAACAGAAAGTAAGAAATCGATATGGTTTTCTCTTCTATTCTGATACTGCAGAAAACCGGTGACTTGCCCTTGTTTTTCAAATTCCACCAACTTGACCGTCATAGGCCAAGAACAGACTGCCATCCCATGGTCCATAGGATTCAATGAGGGATGGCTTTCGCTTCTGCACCAGAGACAGCCGGCTTGAGTGAGGCTTGGATAACAGAGGTGGGATCGATCGACTGACTCCCGCAGAGGTGCGACCTCATTCTTCGAAAAGCCTCATTTTTTGGTGCTGTTAGCCAGCTGGCAGAAGAAGGTGGCAAAAGGTGTTTAGCAGCACTTTAGCCACCAGCAGTCAATCTGACATAAATCCAGCAAGTTTAGCCATGTTGGTGGCCTGTGGCTAAACTTGTTAGCGACCGATTTAGCCATGTCGTTTAGCAGCTTTGGTAGAGGCTGAATTGTGGCTAAAGTGGCCGCTAAAGGACCAAATTCGCCTTTAGCCACGGATTTAGCCACACGGTAGTTTCTGCTCTCAATTCCAGCTCTGGCTATTATAGTCTAGCTAGTAGCTTGGCTGGCAGAACAAGTCAGCGGGAGCTGCGATACCTCGGCAGAAAGACAGATAGAAGAAGGAGGATCATGTTCCGATTGCATCTATCTTTGAAGCTAGCCCTGGCAACAACACCCGACTACGTCGTGTGTTGCTGCCCGGTATCATTCATTCCCGCATTGCAACCTTCTTTTTATTAAGGTAGCCCTGGCGACAACACCCGACTACGTTGTGTGTTGCCGCCCGCTACTCTATAATTTACCAGCTGCCATTCCCTTATTGTAACTCTAACCTTTACAGCTTCTGCTGGCTTATTGTGCTGTTGCGCTGATTGCACTAACCTTAAATATTAATGATTTATTCCTACCCCTAACTTGTATTGAACCATCAATGTTCAGTTTTGTTGGCTTATGACTATCTCTATCCTTATACTTTGGCTTCACCGGAATAGGAAATAGGAAATTCGGTTTTTTTCAGCGTTCGTCTCTTGATTCCTTAGTTCCAGCTCGCTACACTCCGGTACAAGTACCTCATGTTGGATCCTTATGACGAATACATGCACAACCGAAGATTGTCAATCCAGCCATTGTAGCCGGCTGCCGTATAGTTACATCGGCGACAGTGGCAACAGTACCGAACACACTCAGGTTCGGCTTTGCTCGCTACACTCCAGTACAAGTACCTCGTGTTGGATCCTTATGACGAAACATGCAAACCGAAATTATCAATCCACCCATTGTGCCGGCTGCCGTATAGCTTACATCGGCGACAGTGCAACAGTACCGAAACACTCAGAGTTCGGCTTTGCTCGCTACACTCCATGTACCAGTACCTTCGTAGGTTAGATCCTTATGACATAAACATGCACAACCGAGATTGTCAATCCACAATTTACGTCAAGGCTGCCCGGTATAGTTACTCGGTTGACAGTAGGCAACAGGTTATAGTGCTAACGAACCACTCAGGTGGCGCTTTGCCTCAAACACTCCATATACCTCGCAATGGTGCTGATATGACGGATACAGCAGCAACGAAGATTGTCAATCGGCAAATGTAGGTCGGCTACACACGATATAGTACATCGGCGACAGTGTTAACAGTACCGAACACACTACGGTTCGGCTTTGCTCGCTTCACTCAGTTACAGTAACCTATACACAACCGAGATAGTTGTTCATCCTATGTCGTATAAGGTCTCTAGCTAGTGTAATGGGTATGGTCTATTTGGTTGGTAATCGGTGTTCTATTATCTTACTAGTTATTTATCTATCTTTATCGTACGAAAGAAGCAAGTCGTTCGCCTGAGGACTTGTGCATACAGGAAAGTGGGTACCGACAGATGAATCACCACCAAATCACAAGGAAGTAACACTGGAGGGGTGAATCTAGTAGTAGGATCCACTCTATTGTGTATTGTGGTCGCTTTCGCGCTTTTCATGATCGACTCGCGACAATTCTCGTTCAGGCTGTTTGATGGGCTTGTGTTAACAGAGCCTCTTCCGTAATGGCAGCCTCTTCCTCTGCTTACCCGAAGCGATCTACCATCGTCAATGGTATTTCCTCGGCAGTCAGCGTCAGAGAGAAAGCACAATAGTATAGGGTTTTGTTTTCTGGTGTCATTTTTACAGCGGGGCTCAGCGGACTCCGCCACTGATTTTTGTCACAAGGATTGATTAATAGGTAACAACAACAACAAAGACACTTTAAGCCACCTCATTTTAAGCTATCTATTACACTTTTACAAGCAAGTTTCCCCTTGGAAGCACTTAAATCGGATGCTCTGGTCAACAGCAGGTATCCTCGCACCATTCCCGACGGTGATTGCTATTCCAGAGAATCCCAGTCATTCCACGTGTACCCTGGTACTGTTTCTCCTGAGGAGTCATTATCCAAAACGCCAATCACCCATAAACATCAAGACCACAAAAACCAACAGGAAAATTCGATGTATCGAGTTGTCTTGTTTCGCCCATCGAGACGCTGTTTTCCACTCCAAGAAATAGTCCCCGGTCTAACTCCTGTCCATAGTAATAGAATAGGAACTTCATCTGTCAGTCGCAACGTGCATCCTAGCAGGCATTCTAAGACGAACGACCGAATCTGAAGACAAGGAATTCATTTTGTTTGCTCAGAAGAAATAGAGCTGATAATACTTTGCTCAGCCATAGCATATTACTTTCTGCTCAGTCTATTCTCGACAACAAGTAACAACGTCCATAGTCCACTCCCGACGCTAAGCCAGCCACCATCCGATTCGTACACTGTACCTTCTTATCAGATGCCGTCGATCGAACTGATGCTGACTTGATAGAAGCAACCAGCCTTTCATTTCCCGTTTGCCAAGCAAAACTCGAGTATCTACACTACTACACCACACACATAGTGAATCGGTAGAAACTATCTTCCTGCTACGCAACAAGGATATTCGGTGAACTCGAGTTGCACAGGCACAATCGGCCGTTGACTTGCAACCAACAGAATTTGAAGCTCTCCCGCATTTGAAATCAACCACAACCGGGCAAGCAAAATTCTCGCAACAACAAGTCAACAGCCAACGCGAAAAAGTACACAGCCAACGAGAATCTGTACACTCAGTACAGAAATCCAAGCCATCCCTCATACGTACCATAGGATTTGGGCAGGCCCGCACGTCTTACTACATTCTCGAATTCCCTACGGCAAATCCACTCGAACCAACCTATCTCCACAACCAGACGGAGTTAGAAGGATCCAAGGATACACACAACAAGCTCTCACCCAGCTCTATCCACAGGACCATTGAACGCTAGCTAGCACTGACCTCAAGCCTCCAGCCAACAGGAACCCCAACACGCAAGAACCCTTGCCTAAAGAAGAGGAGCTAGAAGGACTCAAGGACACACACAGCAAGCTCTCACCCAGCTGCATCCAACAGGACACTGCTATCTCCACAACGAAGAGGAGCTAGAAGGATCCACGGACACACAAGCAAGCTCTCACCCAGCCGCATCCAACAGGAACACTGCTATCTAACTAGCACCGACTGCAAGCCCTCCAGCCAACAGGAAGCACCATACAATATGACCTCCAAACAGCAGTCGTCCCTGATGGATCACTTTGCACCACCCAAAGGCGCTGACAAGGGACCAACCAAGACAAGAAAAGAGAAAAAGAAGGATCCCAGCCAACAACCAAGCGACCAAACCCAAACCAGCACAACCAGAGCACCCCAACGCAACCCCAGAGAAAACACCAAGGCGGCGCGAAACAAAGAAACAAGGACTCACCCAACCCAACGGAAAACTCACCAACATCCGACCCACACCCAAGGCAATGAAAGCAGGAGGAGAGCCTATGCAACATGGTGTCCCCCAGAATGAAGGTGATGACATCATGGCAAACCCCCAACTACCAGAACATGCGGAACCCACCAGACCACGCCAGCACAGATTACACAGGAAACGAAGAAACACCTGCACGGACTGCCCACCAACCAGTTCCTGCCACACAACCCAGAAATGAAATCCAGTTCGAAAACATCCCCACGATGACCCAACCACAGCCAGAGCCCCCCGCCCAGAAGCTACCGCAAGCTCATCCAGCCACAAGCTGCAGTACAAACAACCAGGCGAACCGGCAGCAATGTCGACACGAAGAACCTAAACAACGAGACGACACACACACCGGAGAGCGCCAAAACTACCAAGTCCGTCAGCATCTTCGAGGTAGACGGCAAGGATGCCAGGACTGCCCCCTGCCTAAGGCCACCCAAGAGATGCACAACTGACGGAATCTCCCTGAAGCAAGCAGGGAGCACACCCAGACCAGACAAGACCCCTGATGACCAACCAGAGACTCTGCAGAGAAACCCACACCAGACCCCGACAAGGACAAGCCACAAAAGAAACAGAGACGGCCAAACAAGACGTGTGTGGTGAGTAGTGTAGATACTGAGTTCGTGCTTGGCAAACGGGAAATCGAAAGGTTGCTTCGGTCGTAGTCGATCAGTCAGTTCGGTGTTCAGTCGATCGGCCGATAGAGGTACGTGTACTCCACCCACTCTTCTCTCCTACCCTCTCTGTCCCTGCCATTTCCAACCACAAAAGCCTACTCTACCAACTTTAACGCCATCTTTTCTTAACACTAAATTTAGGCATCTAGATACAGAAAATCTACTGGCAGCGTTTGGAGAAATAAAAATCTCTAGAAATCTCCCAAAGCCAGTGCATGCTTCGGATACATCTATCTATACTTCAAATGTGAGATCATCAAGCCTCTTGCAATGATCTATTTGGCCCAGTGGAGATACTTCATATGTAAGATCATGAAGCCTCTGGCAATAATCTGGTTGACCCAGTGGCCAGTGCCTCACAAGATCATGTGGTACACAGAATGCATCCAACAGACATTCATGTTGGCGACCAAGACTTGAAATGATCTTCTTGATGATTGCCTCCACTGCCTCATGAGTGGCTTTTGAAAGGGCACTCCTCAAGAGGAACCATGCTTCATTCTTCTGAACCCGTTGGAGCGCATCAAGTACACCAATGTCACAGTATAGCTGACCTTGATCCATTTGCTGTTCCAACCAGGTCTCGACACACATTCGATCGTAGACAGCCCCTGCCACTTCTCTCATTTCAAAGCTGTGCTCTGTAAAGGCACGAAACCCTTGGTCTTGCTTTGCCATTAGCTTCTTGCCAACTGTCAGTAGCATGGTTTCTTCGCGAAATATCAGTAGTCTCAAGCACTTCTGCATCAAACTGACAGGATCGTCATCATGATCTGATGGGGAAATATGGCGGTTTAGAGGTCGAATAGGCCCAAAGAGCTTCTTCAGGATTGGCCATTCCTTTATTCCCTTCAAGCGATGCCTTACGACTTCCAGAGCCAACAGTGAGTTATCTCCAGCAAACGTCAGTGTCACATCAAGATCATTTCGTGCCATGCCAAGCTGGCTGGTGGCTGGAGAATGGCAGGATTCAGTGAAGCGATAGCCAGGAGTAACAGCAATTACATGATTCATCTTGGACTTACCAGCAAATGAGTGGCCTCCACAAAGTTCCCTGGCTTCCTGCGCAGCAGCAAAACTTTCCCAGGATGCAAAGGCTTTGACCAAGCAAGAGTCCGCATGGAGCTTCTTTCTGTCTGCTCCAAATTCATAGGGATGGAATGATTCTTGTGCGGCTCTTCCAATCCTGTCCACTGTGGCTTTACCAACAAACAGTCGCACTGCATGGGATATGAGGCGTCTCTGATGCATGGGGTACGATATAAGTGGCACTTCATCCCCATCCGGGCCGAACTGATGGCGAACAGCAGCATAGCTCAGAGCCACATGGATTGCGCTCTTGGCACAGCCAATGGCTGCAGTGGCCACGCCAATGCGCTCCAGCACAAAGGTTTGGATAGACCGCAAGAATAAATCACTGCTGCTCAATGCAGATTGGAAATCACCGTTTTCATCAACTTGGCAAAAGCGAGACAACAAAGCAGATCGTGGCAATCGTACATGGTCAAAAGTAATGCATCCATTGCCAATGCCATTGCAACCTGCCTTAGCCCCAGTGTCCCTGACATGGATTCCAGGAAAACGCTCAGTCTTGTCTTTGTTCTTCCAAAGTGGTACTCGGAGCCAACCAATTCCCTGTTCTTCGCCTTTGACTACCAGGCGGGAAAGTACCACAACGTAATCCGCCACAAATGTGGAGTTTCCAATCCAGTACTTGCAAGCCGTGCTGGAGGGAGTGATCAAGACAACCTCATTGGTCTTGTCGTCAAACTCGGCAATGGTTTGGATTTGCTTGAGATTGGACCCATGAGCGAGTTCGGTGGCACCAAAGCAATAGACGTCTTCGATCTGGTCAATTTTGGCTCGGTTTTCTGCCAGCTGGGAATCATCCCCATGGATGAATACTACATTTCCGCCAATGGCATGGACGCCAACCACATCAAAGAGACTCAAATCAAATAGACCAGCCCAGTGGAAGGCGTCCAATAGACGCATGAACGCTTCGGGTTCGGTGGTGTTACCAGATCCCATCCCCGGTCCACGGCTGATTTGAAAGGCACCCGTTTGGGCCACGAGCTTGAGTCGCTCTTGGGTCAATCGTTGAAAGTCCTTTGGTAGCAATTCCCACTGGGTAGTCTTGTCAAACTCGGGGAGCAAGAGCAAGTCTTTCAGCTCTGGAGGGCTACTGACAAAGGGCTTGGGAAACTTTCCAGTTGTTGTTGTTTGGCTGTCGTTTCCAAGAGCAGCAATGATGGAACTGTTTGGAGCTCGAGTCGTGCGACCACTTTCAATGTCGGAATTGTTTGTTTTCTCGGGTTCCGTATGGTCTTGTTCCTTGCGATAGTAAGAATATAGAGAATGGATTTGGAAGGAAGCATCAAGGATGTCATTGAAGAAACCGGTACCGAATACAGTCCAATCCAGTGCGTTCATGTTGCCGCCAGTGATCGCAATGGCTTGGATGTAGGCCGATGATTTCTGGATTCGATCAATGAAAAAGATCATCAGTTGGAGTCTGCGAATGGTTCGGACTGGTATTCCAGGATAGATGCTGCGGGTAAAATTGAGTATGTACCCCCAAATATCAGCGGCAAGCCAGAGGACAATTCCACGCAGAAGATAGAGGTTGTATGGACAGTCACAATGAGCTGCCACTAGAATCCAAGTTCCCGTGATGAAGAAGGACACTGTATGATGAACAGTGAAAAAGATGCGGAAGATTGTAAAAAACTCCTGATGATGCGCCACGAGCACGATCCATGTCCAGAGGTAGTATCCAAAGTAAACGCTGGTCCAAATCTCTGCGAAAGTGGAAGGACTTGCCAGGAATGTGGCGACGTAGATGATGTTCTGTACAATGCCAAAGCCAAAGTGTAGAGTGACACGGGGACGCTGTAGGCACGGCAGTGAGACGACCACCGCTCTTTCGACTGTATAGCAAACGGCCAGAACCACAAACGCATTTTGAATGGTCGACCAAAAGTCTTGTAATTGGGACGAGGCGCCAAGCCAAAAGGTGGTGCAGACGACAAAGCAGACTGCAGTGATGAGCCACAGCTCATCGATCTTGACGCTCTCCTTGTTGGTGGTGTTGTTTGGTTTCATCTGTGTGCTTCTTTTTTTACTCTTTTTTATGTGCCTCCTTTTCCTGCGCCCTTCCCGTGCTTTGCTTTGACTTCCTGAGCAGCGATGTTTTGCTTTGACTTCCTGAGCAGGCTGCGATGTTAGGAATCGGTTCAACGATCTCAACACGCGCGGTTTGGCACTTGGCACAGAGTCCTGGGGTTGTGAACCATTGGCGCAGGAACAGGACCTGAAAGCCGTCTGTCCGGTGAAAATGTTGATGTGGTGGGGGTTGTGAGTCGTGTACTCCCAAGAATGACTGCAAAATAAATGGTTAACAGGGGTCCGGGTTTATAATTGAATTTGACAGCACGGAAGACCTTGATAAGCTAAGTGTACGTTGCACATGTATGTAGCGGTCTTACCGAATTTTAAAATTGTAAAGTGATTAACTTCTTTTGGACGAGTGCAGATGGTGGGTAATACGGTACGGTAATACAGTAATCATCTAGCTAGCTACTCTAGAGGTGCTTGTTTTTTTGCGTTTTATTTGTCTTTTGCTCGGCCCTTCCCTTGCTTTCATTTCCCTTGCGTTCCGTTCTGAGTGGTAGCGTTGTTGAGTTGTAATGGGAATCGGCTCAACGTCTCAGCACAAGCTTGCATACGGTACCGTAGGAACCCACAAATCTTTCTGTCCGTTTGGCACATTGGCATGGGGTCCTGGCCTGGTGAAAAATTGGCCGGGGTCAGGAGTCCCAGTTCTCGGGTGAAATTGGGGTCGTTTGGATCGTGCGTCAAGGATGACTTGCACTCGGGCACTCGGGCAAGACTGTCACTCTTCTCAAACAAAATTAATGAAAGCTGTGGCAGCATCAGTAAAATTAATGGTTAGTAGGGGTCTATGTTCATAATTGCATTTGACAGCATGGGCAACTCTGAAACGATGAATTAGACTCTACAGCTCTATGTAGGTGAATGGTGGATGGTGAATGGTCTGGTGATGGTGAATTGGTGAAGCAGCGTAGTACGGCACCGTTGCCACCGGCACCCGTACCTGCTCCCGTACCGGTAGCTGTGAAGCATGTAGTGAAGTGTACTCAGTAACGCAGTAACGTCTTGAGCGCTAAAGACTGTCACTCGATCAGCATGTTGAATGTTGGGTTTGCTGATCAGCTGATCAGCTGCTGGCTCATTGGCCAAGGTTCAAGTTGGCTCTATCGTTTACAATGCAGTCAGAGGATCGCGGGAAGACTTGAGGATCCGTGCACCCCCCCAAAAATAAAGTTTCTCTATGTAGATTTCACTACCGCCGTATACGAAAGTTGGCAGAGGTCCTCCATGTAACTTTGGAAAAAGGCGGAATTGGATACGTGCGGATGGAGCTATGAAGTCAATCAGGATCCGAGCGATGTCACGCAGAATGCCACGCATGGTTAGTATGCTATTGCTGCTGTCCTTGGGATGAAATGCATTGCATCAGATTCTGTTTTCTTGTCCATGCATACTTCCAACCAGGTACGGTACCAATGATACCAAGAAGCTGGACTGCCAAGCTTGGTATTCGGGAAGCTTGGACACCGTAGGGTCCGATGTAGATTATTAATGCTTACATGGCAAACCCTGTTTGTTTCCGTGATGATTATGGCTGAAGAATAAAGGAAGCGTGGCTCAGAAGTGCGCATGATCCTTGCCTTGCATACTGTGGAGACTCGGTCCAACGGGTTGGGGGGGGGGGGTGAGATCATCTGATTTGAATACGCCCCGCCCCGTCTTCGCTGGGATGGTGTTGTCGGTACGTGTGGGTTGTTTTGTTCAGTCGAGAGACTGTCGGGAGCTTGATGCGAAGAAAGCCAGTGCCCTGGCATTGGAGATGTAGAGCCAAAGGTGGGCCCTTGTGGGTTGAGTTTCGTCGCGCCATCAAGATAGTTCGTTTCGTGTCCCAGTAAGGCTGCACCCCGACGAGGACGCGGCCAGTCCAATCAATCATGACGAACTAAACCCTTGTTACGTCCACTTCAGTCATAGATGGGACATCTTCTTCAGTTTCATTGGTCGCTTCTACAATAGACGCTAGTTCCAGATCACTTTCAAAGCGCTTTGGCTTGGTTGGTGGTGCTGCGGCCTTGCTCTCATCTGAACCCTGCAAGTCTTTGTCGTGGGTTGCGGGGTTATCCTCGACGTCCACGTCACTTTCGACTCGTACAGGTTGATTTGGTGGCTTGTTGAACTTGGTTGTTTGTAAAGCATCGGCCTTGCAAGCCTCCGCGACGGCGGCTTCATCCAGAGCTTCCACATCACTCTGGCAACGTTTTGGTCTATGTGGTGGGGTATCTTCCTTTTCAAATTCGTGGCCGTCAGTATTGCTCAAACTTTCGCTTTCTAGCTTCAAGCTGACGCCACTTTCAGTTGGTATGCGCACAGGTCGATTGAGTGGAGTATCGGCGCTCTTTGCGGAGCGCCTTAACGGGTTGGGGGCTTTGTCATTATCATCATCATTATCTCCCTTCTGCCCATCACGAGCCCATTTGTGTCCAATCTCCACGATGGGATGGTCGAACGGTTGTCGAAACTCGGATTCTCCCAAATCGGATACCCCCAGAAACTGCTGCTGGCAATCACCCTTCTGCAGGACCAAGATTCGACCTGGAGGATTCCTTGCCTTTTTGCCTTGCCCCGGACCAGGTGGGCACTGTTCCAGGTTTCTTTGATGTTCTCGGTCGGCCTTGCCTTCGGTGGTTTCCTTTGACGTTCGACACAAAGCTCCACAACAATAACGGGTGTCGAACATGCCCGAATAGACAAAGGCATTCAAGAACCCTACTATTGGGATTATCAAAGCATCCAGCAGCCAGATTGGAAAGGGAATGCGAAAGCCCAAGTCTTCGAACAAGGCCACAATGAGGATTGGCACCCACACAGCCAGGAAGGAACCAATGTATTGAGCCGATTTGACAAACGCTAACCGGGACTCTTTGGCCCATCGAGCAGTCCAACTCTGGGAATGGACAGTAGAGGAGGCCAACACTGCCAGTTCATGACGTCGAACCGTCCTGTAGACGGCAATCGTGCTGAATGCAATGATCGAGAAGCAAATAGCAAAGGGGATAATTTGGGCAATGCTCCGCCACAGCCAAATGTTGGAGCCGCGGATGCAGTCTGTGCCTTCAAAGTGGTCGCATCCCTTGAGTGATTGAGTTGTTTGGAGGATACCGGTACGTAAGAGAAGAGTAGTGCAGCCAGGTGAGCAGGATTGGATGAGGGTCGGCCAATTGCAAACCCATTGGACTGCCACAAAAGTATACTCACCAGTGGATACGTGACCACATAACAAAAGAAGGCAGTGGGGTTGTACATGTCAAAGACCAGACAGATGATGGACAGAATGATTGGAACTCCCCATGAGACCAAGTGGAGGGGAGGCTCAAGGTAGCGCCGTAGTTTTTCTTCTGGCCACTGGTACTTGACGTAAAAGAGAAAGTTGAGAGTGATGCTTGCCGTGTAGAAGATGGAAACAAAGTAGAAGATTTGGAGCCAACCGCCCTGGAGGTTGCAAGTGGTTTGGTTTCCCGTGTTGCCATAGAGAGAATCGCTGTGCAGGGAATCCGCGGGAATGGGCCAAGCGCCAAAGAACAGTCCAATCGAACTCATGACATCCGAGATGCTCAAGCCCAGCAGAAGGCGGCTAAACATTCGTTTCTTCAGTTCGCTCTCTCGCCTTGGACCCAGCAAGGAACACACAATGTACGAGGATCCACAAATCGAAAGCACCGACGAACAACGCAGCACTACCTGACATGCTCTACGCTGCGCCACCGTCAGGTGATCAAAGGAAGTGTGGTAGTCGTCTGCTCCAAAGTCAGGGTTGGCCATGGTTTCTCGATCCAGAAAAAGGTAAAGTGTGTTGTGCTTTTCACTCAATTCTCTTTCTTCTCAGACGAAAGCAGGCACACGCCAGATCTTGGACAACAACGCAGAACTCAGAAGGTCAGCAGCGGCTTTTCATTGAAACATTTTCCTCCTCGCATCAATCCACACTTCTTGCTTCCGTAGATAATTTCCCCCCGTTGCTAATCCATGCTTCTTGTAGTCTACTTCTGCAAAGAGCAGCTGAAGACGGAGTGAGCAGAGGCCTTGCCTCTAATTATCATAGGCGACTCAGAAGGCATAAATAATGTTCAAAGGAAAACGACAATTAATTCATTTATAGCAATCATTTTTGACCTCAAGGTTCGCAATCTTCAGTCATTCAATTTTATATCCAAAGTGACCTTTCTCAGAAGGTACCGCGTAATAATAGTACTACTAGTAGTACGTTAACTTTGCTGTGAACTTCAAGGTTCTAGCCACGAGTGCGAGTGTTTCTTTTCTGTGAAATCGAGGAACTTTTGCTTCGGAAATTCGCCAACGAGCCAACTAGCTCGCACGACACGACGCTTGAATCCACTCTTGTCTGCCGCTGCAGGCACAAAGAGAACCTAAGAGAATGGAAGTCGGCATCGTCTCGAAGCTATCCATCGCAATGGTTATTAATAGTCGGTCATAATTCTAGCGTTGGCATCGTTGGATGTTAGGATCACGGAAGAACTCCTCTATCCGTACAACCACAAGTAGGTTGGTTCTGATGGCGTGGGGATTGTGCACTGCTTTCGGCCAACTAACAAGATAGACAAAAAGGACCAGCGGGTGTGGCAGTAAGAACAGGATCAATGGTGGCAGAACATGCGGTTGCACCAGCAAACATGTTTGTCACAATTTCAGTTGTTCCGAGGTGGTCATCCCATGCGCACAGACTCTGCGAGAACGATGTTGCACCCGAAAACATCTCGGATAGATCGCTCGCCGCATCAACTGCCCACGTACTGATATCAATATCGAATGCAGCAGCATCTTTGAACATTCCATTGAAGCTGGTGACACTTGTGACAGTCCAACTGCGTATATCAGACCCAAAAGTAATATGGGTGTTGAACATGTTTGTCATGTCCACAACTGATGCCACATTCCAACTAGAGAGCGCCCCAACAAAGCTCTGTAGGAACGGGGACGAGAAAACGTGAGAATGGGTGCATCGAATCCATCGGCAACAAAACTTGCTGCGAAATTCAAGCCGCAAAACTTACACTTGCTTGGAACATGGCGTTCATGCTGGTCACTTTCGACACATCCCACGTACTAATGTCCCCGAGGAAAGCACTGTTGGAATCAAACATGGAATCCATTTGAACAACATTTCCAGTGTTCCAGCTTGTTAGGGATTCAGAGTATGAGGTAGTAAATGAAAACATGGATGCCATGGTTGTCACTTTCTGTAGATGTTTGTTGGTAGATTCAGAGTGGCAGTCAGCAAAATGATTAGTCAGCAAGTCACCGCCATGGAGTGTGGTCATTCCCGAACAATCAGGTGACTTACCGCAACATTCCAACTTGCAAGAGAGCCAGTATAAGTGGCACTTGAAAACATTCCTGACATGTCAAGAACATTCTAAGAGCAAAAAGAGTCGAGTCACAATATTAGAAGGTGATGTTAATGACAAGCATTGCCAACTGACCACATTCGGAACTTACAGAGACATCCTGAGAGAGATGCAAGAAAGTAGAAGATACAAGGAACTTGTTAGATCTTGCAATTCCTGACAATCAAAGAATGACCCATCCGGCTTACCCAAGCATCGATGCTTTGACCCAAGTTATGACCGTTGAAAAGATTATTGAAATCGGTGAGAGCTACATCAAAACACCAGTGTGTAATGGGACCGTATGTGAGGTATGGGTTGATACCGGTGTTGGTGTAGTCAGCTGAAATGGCTGTGTTGAGAGCCGCTCTTGTGGTGAAACATGTTGATCCTGACGCCGAGGGTGAACTTGATGGGGCAGAGCTCGGAATTGAGGAAGGCGCATCAGATGGAGAACTGCTGGGCCTTGAGGAAGGAGCAACTGATGGAGTAGTGCTGGGAAAGTTGCTAGGGCTGGAGGAGGGCAGGTTGCTGGGAAAGTTGCTTGGAATGGAGGAGGGCAGGTTACTGGGAAAGTTGCTTGGAATGGAGGAAGGAATATCGCTGGGACTGGAAGAGGGCAGGTTGCTGGGAAAGTTGCTTGGAATGGTTGAAGGCATATCGCTGGGACTGGAAGAGGGCAGGTTGCTGGGAAAGTTGCTTGGAATGGAGGAGGGCAAGTTGCTGGGAAAGTTGCTTGGAATGGTTGAAGGAATATCGCTGGGACTGGAAGAGGGCAGGTTGCTGGGAAAGTTGCTTGGAATGGAGGAGGGTAGGTTGCTGGGAAAGTCGCTGGGAGTGGAGGAAGGAACGTCGCTGGGACTGGAAGAGGGCAGGTTGCTGGGAAAGTTGCTGGGACTGGAAGAGGGCGGGTTGCTGGGAAAGTTACTTGGACTGAAGCTTGGACTTAAAGAAGGATTATCCGAGGGAGTAATGCTTGGGAGCATTGATGGTCTCTCCGATGGACTTATGGAAGGCAACATTGATGGGCTGGACGATGGTGGAACAGAAGGTATCATCGATGGATTAGAGCTTGGATAAGTGGACGGGAATGAAGATGGGGAAGATGATGGTTGCGTTGATGGCCCTTGGGATGAAAATGAGGGCTGCTGGGAAGGTGATTTTGAGGGCTGTTGTGACAGGGACGGAGCCTGAGATGACTGAGAAGGCACCTGCGAAGGTGCTTGTGAAGGCTGAGGTGTTGGCTGATTCGTTGGTAGTGGTGTGGGTGGCTCTGTTGGAGAATTGGTAGGTAGTTTGCTTGGGGCCTGTGAAGGCTTTGGTGAAGGTGCCTGTGAGGGCTGTTGTGACGGTGGCTGAGACGATGTTGAGGGCTGTGAAGAGGGTGTCTGTGATGACATTGAGGGCTGCTGGGAAGGTGATATTGAGGGCTGCTGGGATTGTGAAGGTGACTGTGAAGATAGAGAGGGTTGCTGGGAAGGTGCATCAGAAGGTGCATCTGATGATAGTGAGGGCTGCTGGGATGGTG